CTGAATTACCTTACGACATGGAAATGACAGAACGCTGAACACACCCGGACTGGTAGGTTCTTACTGATATTTAATTTTTATTTTATTACATTTTAGTTTAATAGAGAGCCAGTCTAAGAGCAAAGTGCTCTATTGGGATGAAACAGAGGTCTTTAAGATAAGCTGGAGCTTGATTCTTAATGACCTTATACATGAGGAGAATAATTTTAAATTATATTCTAGATTTAACAGGGAGGCAATGAAGAGAAGCAATGTGGAAAAAATATGCTCTCTCCTTCACTGTTGGTGTTCCTGTTGCAGGATTTTGTATCCACTGAAGGCTTTTTAGGAAGTTGTTAAGACAACCTGATAATAATGAATTATAAGTAATTATTATTAAAAGTATTGATTGTAATTTCACCTCTGCACATCACCATAGAGGATTTTAAATCAGACAATCAATTTGTGCTTGGAGTGCAGACTTTCAGCTTTATTTCAAAATTCAAAGCAAAAGTTTTGTATCTGTTTATTATCTGATATTAAAAACATTTCTATACATCACCCAATGCTGTGTGTCCTCCACTGAGATGCTCTGCTAGGTCTTTACTGTTTGTGGGTCTCTTTGTCTTCAGTTTTATCTTCAGTAACTTAAAAGCATGCTGTATGCAGTCCTTGGAGAATATCCTTTCTTTATTTGAGAAACTCTTGGGTTATTATGCTTTTACATCCATTATCTATTTGCATTATGAAGTGCTGGCCAGCCAATTCTGCAGCATTTGGCTGATTCTGAGCTGAGAGTATAAACCTGTACACTTCAGAATTTGTCCTTGCTATATCTATCAGCAGTGGCATCTTCACAGTGGCCCTGACCTCATGAGCTGTATCTTCCCTTCTGCATACGTTTGTCTCGTCATCCTTCTGGTACAAGTCCATCTTGGTTTCTCCTAGAGTCGTCTTCTCCTTCTTTCAGCTGTTTGGTTTAGAAATCATTACAGTAGATCATTGGCCTCCATTTCACCCTGCCCCGAGCACCCAGACTGTCTGGATGTTAGGACTCTTTTCTTCCTGTCTTCTTGTTTTTCTGCCTTGCAGCTCCATCTTCAACATCCACTCTCAAATATCCCTCCTCTGCACGTATGCAAACCATCTCAGCCTAACCTCACTAACGTTGTCTCATCCACCTTCACTATCTCCACTCCTTGCACATGTCTCTCTCTCATTCACATGCATTTATTCTGTTTTGCTTCTACTGACTTGCAGTCCTCTGTCTGACATCTGTAGAGCTGTTTTTCAGCAGGAGACTCACTGCTCCTCACTGATAAGCTTTCCCATAACTTCATGGTATGGATCATCAGCTTTATCCTTCTGTAGTACTAATCATCTGCACTTACTGATTCACTAACTCTCCTCCATCCGTCCTCCTCTCTCTCTCATCTTAATGAGCTACTTCACCTTGTGTGCTGGTCAGAAATTACTCTAACTTGAACACAGCGGTGACCTGATGGGTCTTTATCCAAACTGTGCTCAAAGTCAAGGCCGCATTTGTTGTTTTATGGCAAATTCTGATCTGGCCTTCTTATTCCTGAGTGTAACCAGCTGTTTGCATCTTGTTGTAAGCTGTGACAAAGTGGATGAGCAGTTGTAATGCTCTCCATTTGTCCCAGATGTGTTGACCTTTTTTTTGCACATTATGCACATTATTCTGTCTGTGTATTTATTTGCTATGATTTGCTATTTGTCAAAGTAACATTGCTGCACTAACTATCCCGGGTTTGTTTGTGTAAGCATTCTGTTGCCGGCAAATCAAGCATTCTGCAAATTAAGGCAAATAGTCAGATACATGTTTCTTTACATTTTATTATGTTACAGATTAAGTTGTTTGTTCATACTTACTTTGTTCTTTCGTTTCAGTCTTCATGTAAGTCAGGTTTGGGGAAAGACCCGCCTAGCATTTCCTCGTTTTAAAGTGCTGATGATGTCACACATGACAGGTTTTGTTAAGTTTCATGTAGGATGGGGTTCACTGTAAATAAATTGCTCACCTCTGGAAACCTGAAATGTCTGCTAAGTCTGCTTCCCTACCACCTTCCCTAACGTTTGAGTTAAGGAAGGTGACTACCCACATGAACTCTGCATTTACATTCATGAAGGCATCTATTGAATGTCTTTGACAGTGGTACCTCTTTAAATGTTGCACTTTAGTTTAGTTTTTCTGCATTCCTTTTTTCTTTTTTTAAAGAATCGACCACTACTACTATAACTACTTATATATCTACTACTTGATTTGGGTACTCCTGCTTTTCAGCTTTTCCTATCTCTCTCTGATTGATTCATTTTGCTTTGACATCTTAATGATGGCCTCCTTCACTTGCATCAGCGTCTTTCATCATTTGAAGAGTTCCAGTGAATAGCTACCTAATGCAGTTTCTGGCAAGTACTCAAAGTGATTATTATGTAATATTATCAGTAATTTTTGTAATGCATCCCAGAATTAGTTTTTGTATTGAATGCTAGTATGGCTGATAATAGATCCTTTACCACCTGTTTGAAGCTGTGGCCCCAGATGCCCCTCAACCACTCATGTAAAGAAAAAACAGAATAAGAAAGGAAGGAAGGAAAACAGACTTTCTGGGTAGTGAATGACTTTTTTTTTTTTGCATTAGTGGAAAAAATTTTGATTTCTCTGAAGAGAAGAGGGTTTGGATGTGGTTTGAGCTTTTAGTGTGTATTTGTGGTTTTCTTGCTTCTGAGGCAAAAAGAAAGCAATAAGAGAGTGTCACCTCTTAGTAAGGGGAAGTCCAAAAGTCAGAAAACTTAACATAAATAAAGAGAACATATGCTTCACACCTCTTTCAAAATGAAGAGAATGAGTTAGAACATAAAGATCCATTAAAATAAAAGTAATGGTCTATTAGCATGACTTACTAAGACACTGCTGGGCCAATGAAATCCAAATCCAAAACAAAAAGGCCACCAGAAACACCGGAGCTCACAAAATAGTTCAAAGCAAAAAGTCCAAAGGCACTGAAGCCCAGGAAACAGTTCACAAAACAGCTTAGGGGGGCCATCTGGAGGGTGACTGTACAGGGGTCCAAAACAGTGCAGTTCACGGGGCTGGCCGCGTGGAAGATGTCAGCAGTGACTGAGTAGGTCTGGAGGCCGTCCGTCATGGCAAAGACCCTTAACTGACGGCCTAGAAAGTGGCCGGCAATGGTGTGGTGGTGGACCTGGATGAGCAGGCCGTGCTGGATGTGGACAAAAACGAGCAGGACCAACAGGCCGCGCCTGACCCCTAAGACCTTCCAGCGGAGACAGATGGCTGGACGGGCCCCTCGGACCCCCCAGCAGAGACAGATAGCTGCACAGATTCCTTTGAGTCCCCAGCAGAGCTGGAGTATCTAATGTGACGTGATATTTATTATGTGAATGAGAATCTAAACCATGCTGTTTAAACTTAATATGTTTGTATTGAACACTATGAAAAGAAACGTTTGTTTGAAAAGTGTTCTTGCAAAGATAAAATGCTTAAAGTCAGTTAATGCATAATGTGAAGACATTAGGTGAGGATGTGGGTGTTTGTGGGGCAGCTTGCTCTTGGCTGCAAAACCACAAAAAGCACAAATCCACACAAACACACAGTTTAAATGTCAGTGTGGTCCACATGCAAAGGGAGCTACTACTAATAAGAAGTGCAGTGTGTGTGTGTGTGTGTGTGTGTGTGTGTGTGTGTGTGTGTGTGTGTGTGTGGTCAGAAATACAACAGGGTGGGGGAATTGACAGGCTGTACTAAAGTCAAGGAAGATGAAAAACTGAAGCAACAACCCAGAACAGCCAGTTTCCACCTGATGCTGCATGCTTGAAGTTATCAGCTCAGAGTTATACAGACAGGTGCACTGCAGGTACTGTTATATACAACCGTTTATAAGTTGAAGAATCAGATTCGATGAAACTAAAGGGTTACAAGGCTTCAAGTGAAACACTCAGAAGCTCAAATGTTCGTCAGAAGAGCTCTGTGGGTTGTGATCAAAAGACTTTTCACACTTTTTTTGTCTTGTCAGTTTAGTTGGTTACATTTGATACGTAAACAAAGTAACACCCTCATGTGATGCTCTTTGACAGGATATCAGGTGAAATTAAGTCAGCAGTTGGAAGCAGATCAGTTGCAGCTCAGCCAGCAGGTAAGTGTCACTGACTGAAGTCCTTTAATGGACAGCGTGTGTGCTTTAATGTACAGCTATTATTATTTTTATAAGAGAAATGTATTATTACAATTACAATATTAAAAATGTTTTACTGAATGTTGTTCAGTTTAAGATTCAGTGCCAATTTCTTTTGTGTAAGAAAACATCCAGGAGATCAGGTTGTTGTTATTTATGTATCAGTTTTATTTGATTTGACATGGTGGAGCAGATCAAACCAAGTGAACACAAACCGAGCAGCCAACAGTTTGTGAGGCTGTGGTAGAGATGCATGTCTGAAAGAAAAGACCACAAATGCAACAGCAATGGAAACATTAATTCTTGAAGCGCTTCATGTAAATTATGATTTCAATTCAATTTCATTTTATGTAGATGTCTCCAAACCACAATAACAGTTGCTGAACAGCACTTTGTATTATATAGTAAAGTGACTTGTCCAGGGTGCACCTTACCCCTCGACCCGTGCCAGCTGAGATAGACTCTAGCTTTCATCGCTGCGATGCTAGATCGGATAAGTAGAAGAAAATGGATGAAAGTAAATTAAAACACAGTAAGTTTAAGTGCTCCTTAGTATACACAGTAGGAGTCTGGATTACATCATCACTGCTTTTAGTTTTACAAACTGAGGCAGGATCTGAAACACTTGTGTGTCTGTTGTTCCTTCCTCTGTTTATATTGTGTTTATCTGTAGCCAGCTGTTTTTCTTCTATGTGGGTTGATGTCTGACTGTTTGGAGAAATAAAACTGTGTCGTCTCTAATCATGTTGCTAACATGGTAACATTTTATTTGCATCCTTTGCAGGATGAGAAGAATCAGAAGGCAGTCAGTCAATACCTAAAGCAACTACAGTCCTTCAAGTCTTCCAGTCACAGTCACCATCCCAGCAGCCTCTAAGAAAGAAAACTGTCGACTTAATGGAGAGAAATAAGAAAAGCCTTTCCCTGTTTATTCTGCTGCCTCTGCTGCTGCTCTGCACAAGTGATGAGTGTCCCAGGCTTCCAGAGAGTTAGTCTTTATTCCTCTTTATTCATGTTTAACTGATTTTAAGATCTGTTGTTTGACATATTTACTCATTTTCATTTAATCTCTCCTGTTTTAATTCTCACAGATCTCACTTGCTACACTGACTACAATAGAAACATCACATGTTTGTGGAACAGCAGATACGTGTCTGATGACACTGCATGCACCATACATGCTCACTATAAATCTCGCTACATGTAAGGACCTCAGTCACAAAGAGAAATCCTCAACACATAAAACTCACATAACAGAAATCATAGATGTTATCAGTAACGCCATCTGCAGGAAAATCAAATTAATATTCCTCTTCTCAGTTCTTACAGCGCTTCCTGTGACCTAAAGTCTGTTGACGTCTCCAGACCAGCGCTAAAGAAGTGCTCCCTGATCTTTGAAAAGAAAAGCACTGTGAGTGTGTAAAGAAATCAAATTATTTCTGAGCCCCCGAGATAAAATCATATATCCTATATCTCAGTTTGTATTTTAATTAGAAGTGAGATCTAATATTCTACGGAAAGCCTCGGGGCAGTCACTGACTCCTTCCAAATAGTTTTTTTATCCGGTCAATGTCAGAGATTATGTTTTCTGAAAATCCTGTGCATATGATGAGAGGGAAATCAGCTTGCATGTTTAAATTCATACTATAAGCGCAGCTGCTAAGAGGTTGGTTTACTTTTCCCTGTTGTGTATTTGAAACTAAGGTGAAGTTTTTATGGCTTCTGTACAGACATGGAGCAGTATCAGTAATGTCATTCTCAGCAAGAAAGCTCAAAAAATGTATAACACTCCTTTCAAATGTACCCAGTAATCTCATTAACTATTTTTACTAGATCTTCTGCTTGATGTACTCAGGTCATTCTCTGTCTAAAAGAAGCTTCATCTCTTCTCTCTTTATGCTGCTCTTTGTTTTTACCAAGTCTATTATCTGATTGGATATTTGTGACTCCAATTGTTTTACTTTAAATCAAATTTGAAGTTTGCCAAACAAAAGACTTCTATATTGTTCTCACTCAATGTTTTCTAACAGTAAATATTTTTCAAACATTTTTTTTCCAGTTTCAGTTTTTCCATGAGTTGTCCCTTAATCTGAGCTGCAACCAAATGAAGAGTGTAATCACTTCCTTCAAGCCATCCTGTCACAGTGAGTGTAATCTACAGTATAAATACTGGCTCTTTGTGATTTACAGTGCGAGCTATTCATGGTGACCTAAAACAACTGTGTGTGTGATCTTGCAGTAAAGGTGAATCCTCCTGCAGAGCCAAAAGTCAACTTCACGTCTGTTTCCTGGTTGTCCCAAGTCCACAAACATGTAATCAGGTTATACAGAAGTGAATTGCAGTGGAAGAAGCAGGATTAGTCATGGAGTGTAAGTTTAGATTTTATGACACAATGTGAACAAGTTTAAGTATAAAGTTGAGATCATGAAAGTTCACATGTGAAACAAGATTCGTTCTCAACCCCACACTGGTTTCTGTGTGTCAGGATCCTGCTGTGCACAAAAAAGTTGGCATTCAGTGTGAGCAGGAGTGCAAGGCAGAGCTGGAGCCAGATTTGCTGATACAAGGCGAGAGGCACGAGGCACGAGTTCGTGTGCGGTCTATTTTTCGGCACCGCGAGGGAGCCTGGAGTGACTGGAGCCCCACTGCATCATGGGAGTCACCAGTAGGGAAAATAAAACCACCACCAGGTACATTTATCTCAACATGTTTTGTTTAACATAACATACCAATGTCAAAATCTTTCCAATTCATTTATGCTGGGTGGCTGTAGCTCAGGTGTCAGAGCAGGTCAGCCACTAATCAGAAGGTCGGTGGTTTGATCCCAGGCTGCATCCTGGCTGCATGCCAAATATCCTTGGGCAAGATACTAACCCCATGTTTGCCTACTGGTGGTGGTCAGAGGGCCCGGTGGCACCTGTGTCCGGCAGCCTCGCCTCTGTCAGTGCGCCCCAGGGCAGCTGTGGCTACAATGTAGCTGCCATTGCCAGTGTGTGAATGACTGAATGTAGTGTGAAGCGCTTTGGGGTCCTTAGGGACTAGAAAAGCGCTATACAAATGCAGGCCATTTACCATATGCTGAGCATGATTACTGCAGTATGGAATAATTATGTATATGGGAAAATGTTTGAAGTGTGTTGGTGTATAATACACAGCATAGAGGGGAAGAAGCCATTGTGAAAAATGTCCAATGCTGTATGTGGCAGGAGTTTGGTCCCTGGCTCAGCTGCAGGGTAGACGTGGTGCAGTGAGCTCAGGGGGCAGTACTGGGATGCAGGTGAGCCACAGATGGTGCCGATTGACTGATGACGGTGTCTCTTTTTGTTTCTCTATATCAAGTGCCGGTGTCCTGCAGGTTTTAGACACAGCTGATTCAAATGGCTAAATTACCTCCTCAACATGTCTTGAATTTCTCCAGAGGCCTGGGAATGAACTAATTATTAGATTCAGGTGTGTTGACACAGGGTGATATCTAAAACCTGCAGGACACCGGCAGTCGAGGCCTGTAGTTGCCCACCCCTGCTCTATATAGTGAAGGCAGATTTGAGTGGGGAGGAAGGAGAAATGAACTGGAACAGACTGTTTGCGTTGAGCACACAATAGTCATTAAAAAGCAATAATAGTGAGCACATTTACTGTGTGTGTCGTGTACGTTTACACTGTAATTTAACTTGCAACCTTCAACATACAAGGGAGAGGTGAGAGAGAGGGCTGGCTCTCCATTCAAGGTCAATAGGACTTTGTCACCAGAAAAAGTGAAATATTTCATAAACAAAGAAATAGTAGCCGGTTGTTATGAGGTAAGAGTGATCTGTCTACAACAATCAGAGTGAGACTTGTTAGCCACCAAAGAAGAAGAAAAATGGCAGACAACAATAACACATACTACCAATAAAATATCAACCAGTTACAACTGCATTAATTCTCAGATTCAAAAGCATCAATGTCCACATCTGGACTGTTTCCTTGAGTTGAAGAAAGTGTTTAGTTTCCATTTGGTAGTTTTTCATGGGAACATAAAATATGCAGTCCATATGGGGAACCAGTGCAAGGCCTTGAATGGGCTAAAAAACAAAAGAGACTTATCATAGAGGTCCTACAACAATTAGAGCAGCGGTCTCCAACCTTTTTTGCGCCACGGACTGGTTTATGCCCGACAATATTTTCACGGACCGGCCTTTAAGGTGTCGCGGATAAATGCAACAAAATAAAACTAGTACCAGTACCGAAAAAAAAGATGATTTATTCATAACACAAGTGAAAAGACCCAGGAAAACTGAGTTAACGATAAAAACGATAACAAAATAACGCTGAAAACTGATAAAAACCATGAAAACTATACATTTCACACCTGAGCCTCAACTCTCGCAGCCCGCTACCAAACGACTCACGGACCGGTACCGGTCCGAGGCCCGGGGGTTGGAAACCGCTGACTTAGAGGGTTGTCACATCAACAACTCAGCAGCTAAACAAATCGGTCACATGACCCCAGCCCAACATGGCGTACTTTCACTTAGTGAAGACAGACAGAAGAAAGACCCAGAAGCAAACAGCAACTGAAGGAGGCTGCAGTAAAGGGAAGAAATGGCATTTTGAAGGTTTCTGACTTCAGACAGTCACATACAAAAGATTTGCACTCAAGGATTAGTAATAATAATTAGATGAAGGGCATAACTGAAAATGTCTGTATTTTTATATTCCATGCACTTCATGCAAAATTCATCCTTAGTCTCTTGAATAATAAATCACACTCACATCTTGATTTCTATTTAAATTCACTGTATCGGCTGCTGAAGCAAACTTGTCTGTGTCTCATGGACTTGGCTGTATGACCCAGTTTTCTCATGTTTCTGAGCCACTGTGTCCTGATCTGTCCCGTATTTTTCAGGTAATACGTTTGTTGTTCCTGTAACGATAGTCGGTGTGGTGGTGTTGCTGGCAGGCCTGCTCTTAAGCACTCACAAAACCACCCGGTACGTGAGCACAGACACAAGTTTCTATGGCAAATAATATTATTAGAATTTCTTCTATTTTGATTTACTTAAGTTATTTTCTGACAACTCTGGTTTATTTTTTATTTTTTTAGGGTTTACATAGTAAAGAAAATCAAAGGTCCACCCATACCAGACCCAGGAAAATCCTTCCTGCGAGAAATCCAGGTACAAACCGCAGATATTTCCTCTGTTATAACAAGTTATTATTACATGTTATTATTCCATGCATTAGATAATACTGTGGCTACTTCAGGGCAGTAAACATAACATTTATGAAATACTGTGGTGAATTTGTTTGCAGGAAATCAAATTATTATCATATATTCAAAGCTGTGTTTTAGCCAATAGTTTAAGTGCAATAGTGACTCTTCTTTAGTGTAGGGTTAAGAGTAGAGTGCTTCATCACAGTGTTAAAATAAAATGCTGGATAAGTTCATGGGAAGTCTATTATACAATGATTTAATTTTCGTTCAGTACAGTTTTATTCATGCAGCACCATTTAACAACAACAGTCACCTCACAGTATTTTCTCTGTTAACCTGTTGCCTGCTGGGAACAAGGCTCACTGTATAACCACAGAGGTGGACTGCATCAGGGTCTAATTTTCATGTCTAAACATATTCATTAAAAAAAAAACCTCTGCAAAGTAGCAGGGAGCTACAGAGAGTTTAAGGAGTCTAAAAGCAAATAAACAAAATAAGCTCAGTGCAAGTTAAAAAGCAGACGGACACAACATGTACCATAAGAAGACAGAGCATTGCAGATAGCTGTGAACTCTGTGGGAGGTGGAACCAGACAGACAAAGTGACTCACTAATCCAGCCACAGACTTATGACCTTTATGATCCAAACAACTCAAATTCACTAAAGTTTGAGTGAAGCACCCCAAACACCTGATGCTTTCCTATTTAATCCCATTAAAGTGCAGACTGAATATCTAGTATATTTCAAATCTTTCTAATCTCTTTTGTTCTGTGACTTTCTCTCCTCCAGAGTGGGTTCTCCAGTGAATACTTTCACTCCTTCTTGAAATCAGTGGAAATGATCACTGTAGAATTAATCTCACCTGTGGATGCTGCTGTGGCCTACAAGCCAGATGAGAAGATGGTGTTGAACAAAGGCAGCTATGACTCCACCAGCTCCAGCTTCACTAACCCAAGTTACTCTGAGCTTTGTAGCCCTCCTCCTATTTCCTCACTCACTGCTGGGAATCTGAAGCCCTGTGCGGTTGACACGCCTTATGGTCCTGTTGGTACTCGGGGTGAAGGAAAAAGCGCAGAACAGGAAAGTGATGAAGCGAGAGAGAAAGAAAAGGAGACGTTAATGTTGCTGCTCAAAGGCAGCAGTAACAGTGAGCCAGTGCAGGTGATTTCAGACTACGAGAAAACTGAGAGGCTCGACAATGATCGATTTAGGCTCCAGAGTCTAGATTCAGGCATGTGCAGTTGTGCAGAGGTCAGTGAAGAGAGCATGGAGGCAGATAGCATCAATATGACTGATAGCCATGATGAGGAACCTGAGGGTGAGGAAGAGAAGGAGGGAGGGAATGAACAAAAGGCAGATTTTCAGAGGCTGTTTGGAAGCAGCGGAGGTGTGTTTGGCAAGTCTATCCAGGTTTGTTCTGATTATGAGCGAGTGGAGAAACAGCAGGCTGACAGCCCGGAGCTTCCCAGCTTGGATTCAGGTGTTAGCAGTGGGGGAGAGGAGCAGCTGAGTCAGGATGAGGGCATGGAGGATGTTGATAAGTCCACTGAATCTACACGCTTCCTGTTTCCACCTCATCCTTCCAGTGCTTTACCATGCTCCCTGCTCTCTTTTCCACAACTGCCTCTGAACTTGCCTGGGCCACGACTGAGTCCAGCTTTGCAGCTCCAGCCAGGTCACAAGACACAGGGGTTTGCTCTGATGTCAACAGGCAGGTCGGTGGAGCCCTCTGGTGATGGATATATGCCAGTGAAACAGGAGGAGGACTGAGAACAGACAGCAGGCTCAACTAGCAGGACAACATAGCATGTAGCACATGGAGGAGTCATCACAGTCAGTCAGTTCTCAGGAAAATGTAACATCACATAATTCTTTATCCACTTCACGTTTTTCAGCAACGTTAAAAGTATTTTCTTTTATTTTCATAGTTATGCAAAATTATGTTTCATATATCAGAACTGTGCACTATAACCTTGCTTTTAAAAGTGAATTGTTACATCAGATATTTCTACTGTTAAAAAAGAAATGCATTATCTAATGAAAAACTAAACTGAAATTAATAATAATGTGGTTATAATAATAAAAGTTTTTGCATTTTTATTGTGTTTTTAGAGATCATCTAAATGGCATGTAGCTTATTATACTGAAACAAATGTTGGTGAAGGAATGTAAGTTCCAGATAGCTGAGATAGTTGTGTTATCTGTATAGTGTGTGAACTGATGTCATTTAGAGGGTATCATGATAATCACATATTAACTATAATCAGGATATTTGAAAATCAAATGCCTAGATATAGACTGGTATAGATCTTGTGAAAAATTTGATATTGTGCCAGCCCCAAGGACAACAGCAGAATAATAACAGAGCTGTGTCTGTCGCCATCATCTGTCCCGTGTCAAATAAATATTAACATTTCTAACTTACATTTGAACGGCAGCTAACATAAAGTTTACTTCATAACATTACTGATCTATATAAGAGCTTGCATTTGTTTTTTGTTTTTAAGAATTTTACTATTTTTTTAAATAAATATACATACTCAACATCTTTAACACAAAGTTCTTCCTGTGTTTTCTCTGGGTTTAGAAAGGGTGGCCATGCCCACTCTGATCGATGTCGGGAGACCCGCCTCTTCCTTGTCCCTGTCGTTTAGGGTTGTGGGGGCGAGGGGACAAGGCTCCACGCTGACACTGGCACATATGCACATATGATGAATCTTGGGGATCCGAGGATTGACCAGCGTCACTGCTGCCGCTGTTTTTTGCGGCAGTCATGTCGGTACGCGGTTCCGTCGCTCTGACGTCTGTTTGAGAAGAAGTGATGAAAGATTTCATTTTTTCTTGGAGAAGAAAATGTGAAATGTATACGAACCCTTTCAACAAACATACTTGAGATTAAATATTTTATTCACAGCAGTAGTTTTAAACAATTCCTTCCATGTTTAATAAGACACTAACTCCCACAACACTCCCAAAACAGGACGTAAATACGGTGACATCATCAGCTGGTTTCTGACGTGCCATTTTGAAGCCTCACTACTTTCAAGCAACCGGATGAGGGTAAATACAGCGTTATAACTTCTGAGTGTTGCGGTTTAAATTGTGTACATGAACCTGTCGTGTCAAAATGCTCCAACTAGCGAACTGTTAACGAGGACATAAAAAGCGTAAGCACCTGTCGGCTTCTATATTACCAGACGTGTCATTGTCAGTGTGAATGGATAGTTCGTTAACCAGAGTGCTTTAGTGCATGGACAGCCTGCAGAGTGCAGCCGCACTGAACTCTTACGCTCGTGTTTGTGTGTTTGTTGCGCCAAGGAGTAAATAAAATAACTTATTTCAAAGTTATATACAACTCAAAGTGCCTTTGCGTCTAAGTGAAATGTTGGCGGCATTTCTGAGGTGAAATGGGCAACATGAGGTGTCGTGGGCAACATCACCATAACGGAGATGTCTTAACTTTGATGAAGATACACGGGAGCGCACGGCTCGGGGGAGGAAGGGGAGGGGGGGGGGACTTAGTACTATGGAAAAATCTGAAAGATTGTGGATTTTCCACTGACACCAACTCAAAGATGTGTGTTGAAGCCAAAATCTGCAGGTGGAATTGTCACTGCACCCCAATGATTAATCAAACGATTCACAGAATCCATGGAAAATTTTACTGATGATAAAGTACAGGATGCTTCAATGCATTATTTTTGGAAAATGTTAAACTGTGGATCCAACAATAGGTAGCACTGTCAAGAGTGAAGTGTTTAGCTGAAAGATACATCTCCAGAGAAGTAGTGGAGCTCTACAGGATGAAATTAGAAGGGTGAGTACAAGAGTGGACAGAACATCGTCAAGTCAGCTGACAGCTCCGCAAAATGTCTTTCCTACAGCAGCAAACAGGATTCAAGAAGTGACGGTAAGATTTCAAGATCTGTGGTCAGAGTAGGAAAACAAGCCAGTAGGACTCTGAGTGAAGCAAACTGTGCATTTGAAGTCATGGAGCTTGTGACCAATTCACTCATTCAAGATAAAATGTGACCTGACTCTCCCTTAGTTAAAGGAAATATTGAAAACACATCAAAAAAAAACTCATGACTTTGAATAACTCGTTGTGTTTGCATTGTGATAGCTCTGAGGAAGGGATCAGTGCAGCACTGCCCAAGAGACAGTGAGGAAAGCTATCCATCACTGTTCATGGGTCCAGAACTGCACCAAAATATAATTCTCCATTCCTGAAAGTTAGAGCTTTTAGCAGTGAGGGAGGCAATTTATTAAAGATTTTGAGAACATATCTATTATGGTCTCTACTATTTATACAGTCAATAATGTATTAATCCTGTGTGTCTATCCTATGAATTCTAGTCAAAAGCACCTAACTGAGAGCATTCACACGATGGGGTGAGCAACAAGTGTCCAGAGCGCAGCGATGAAGACAGAGTGAAACAAGTTTCAAGGAAGAGGAGATACTCTCTGACCCTCTAGGTAATTGCACATAGATAAACTGAGACATATGTGAAGCATACAGTGGGTCTGTGTAATGGCTTATTGGGTAGAAACAGGGTCAAAACCAGGGGTGTTTTATACAATTATATCTGGCCCATGAGATAATCTCAATTATTAATGGCTCGTTGTATGTGGGAGCCAAAACCATGCAGGCAGACAGTGTTGGGGAGTAACGGAATACACATACGTTACGTATTTAAGATACAAAATATGAGTAACCGGTCGTGTCCAAATTCATAGGCTGCATCCTCCTGAGGACCCGGCCTTCGCGGCCTGCGTGGGCCGGATTCTCCGCAGGGCGGGTAGACCGGAAGTGAGCTGTTGTGAAACTGGATGGTCTAGCCTTCAGTTTTGCATTACCAGCTGTCTCGCTGGAGTTTAATAAACTCAACCGTTTGTTTCTTGTTATGTAAAACATAACAGGACATTGGCCTAAATTCTCAAACCATCTCACATTTCTGTTTAATCAGTTTTCTGTTTGATGTTGATTCAACTGTGTGAAAACTATCACTTTAATGTCAGCCAAACTGATTTACTCACGAAAAAATAAAACACTGAAAAAGCCAAACAAGAACATTTTTAAGTTGTCCAATTGACAGGATACATCCGACCAATCCTTCAAATCTGCACTGAAAAAAAGGCCATGTTGGATTTACTTGATTCAATAGTGGACATTGGTTGCACACAAATGTTTTGCTTTGGCAGAAACTTAAACAACTGAGTTAAATCAACACAACTTTTTCATATTCAGTAAACCTGTGCATTTTGTGTTCATAAAACGCGATTGGAACATGTTCAGATGATGTAAGTTGAGCTCTTGGAATATTTTAATCCTTCACAATTTTGTCATTTTATTTTAACACTATTCAATAACTTTTACCCCAATACTACTTGGTCACTTAAATACTACATGCTGTCTTCATATTACATAATGTTCAACAAAGTCTAGAGTCTGGTTACCATAAAAATTGAATGGGTCTTCAACAACTACCATCCTTCTATCTTTATCCTGGTTGCAGGAGGGCTGGGAAATAACCCTGAAGTGATAGATTACGGTGCAGGGTACACCCTGGACAGCTCACCAGTCTATCACATAGAAACAAACAACCATTTACATTCACAGGTAATTTAGAATCAGCAGTTAACCCTAACAACTGCATGACTTTTAACTGCGGGAGGAAACCAGAATACCCAGAGAGAAACCTGCAAACTAGCCAGAATGTGGATTTGAACACAGGACCTTCTTACTGTGAAGCAACAGCACTAACCACCATGCCAACAATCTAGGAAATGTAGGAAAGCTATGATTTCCTGTATTTGATGCAGAATTTTTTTGTTTTTGTAATAATACACAATAAATAGCAATAGCATGCACGTGGTGCGTGCAGTTGTCTGCCTCTTATAACTCCAGTGGTTTTCCTGCAGTTTGAAATCTTGTGCGATCTTGTGAATTTCATGAGTTCAGCAACTAACCACTCTTACTAGATTGTATCAGGTCGTCTCAACAAGAACAAATTAAGTTGTTGAATTTCGTACAGATTCTTCATGATTTAATTACGTTCATAGAAACATGAAATTATTGTGTTCAAATTACAAGTTAGACTTTTTTAATGTAACAACCACCCAATTTACTTTTTTTGGTATACTAAAAAACAGTAGAGGTGGCTGCTCGACTTGACTGAGATGGATGCCTTCCTGAAACCACGATCTAAAGAGCGCGAGTCTGAAACCCGTGCAGTGTCACGGGATTTAACATTGATATATTATTGACTTACTTCACTTGAACATGATATGAACAATTTAATCTAGCCTCTCTGCATATCATGTAGTTTCTACACTATGTAGTTACACTTAACTTTAAAGCACGAGGCACTTGTGTTAAATACACGCAAGATGCTTACGTAAATACAAGAGTTGGCCAATCCCTTTTTTTCAGTGTGGGGAAAAGGAGGACACATTTGCTGTTACTCTCATTCCCTTTTATTTGGTATTCCAACTCTGTAACATGCAACTTCTGTCGGTGCTATGCTACTGGAAACTGAATTTCCTAGAGAAACCCACCCGAGGGATTAATGAAGTGTCATCTAATCTAATCTCATCTCATCTCGTCCCTTCTTGCACCAAGATGCCAGGTTCTTTCATTATCCCTCATTCACAGCAGCAAATGCAGAAGCAAGTGTAGCTGTTGCTGTTCTGTGAGTCTATGGTGCATGTGGTGTGATACAGTATGTCCATGTAGAAAGGACGGCACTGTGACGCTGGACTTGCCCTTACTCTGGGCTCCCTCTTTATTCTGGCAACTGGTACAAAGAAAACAGCACACAGTCGTCATCAACAGTGTGAAAAGCAACTGCAACATTCAGTTCACCAGCTTGGGAGTATTTTCCTTTTTTTTCCAAACATAA